GTCCCAGAGGAGTTTGTCAAAATGGTTTCAAGAATATATTTATACTGTGTATTTCCACTATTTATCATCGCTTGCTTGAATATCCTTTATGTTTTGTATACGTTTCCATATCCTACAACAACATTGAGAAAGTCTGCTCTTAACTGGTAAGTTATTATGAATATTTATTCATTAACACGATATCATTTTGACAACATGGAAATATGTTGGTCGAATAGCTCCGTGTCAGGTTCGTGGGCAAGTAACAGTAAATAAATACACTGGGTGGCCCCTCATATCAGCAGATTGCTAACTCGGCTAAGCAGGGTGCATTGCAGTTTACTCTACCCAGCTGACCAAACACGTGGGATTATGTTTAGAAACATGGGGTTCTGTCAGAATGGGAACGTTATTTACTGTCTGACCCTGTGAGTTACGGATAGTTGATTGGTTGTATTTGGGGCTTCTTTGTTTGTAATTTATTCTGCGGCTGTTGATGATTCCCCTCTTTCATGTCGGTTCCATAATACTTTGAATACTGATGCCTTCACAACAGTACTGCACACTTCAAATCATTATGGTTATTGTGTTAACTTACCAGCTTTAGCCCCATCGACATCAAGAATCATTCCCTTTCTCTCACATCAGTCCACTTATACTCAACTGCTGGAACTCCAGATATGTAATTGTCAGTTCCTGTCCTTTATATCTTTAAACTCAACTGCTGGGCCTTCCAGATCTGTAAGTGCTTTCTGTGGCTCTTGATTGGTTTCTTTTTCTCATTTCAGCCACCTCATACTTTACTCTTACTGCTGAGCATGTAAGATGTGTGGTTATATTCTTTGCCTGTTAATCTGTTTTCATCATACTTAACTGCTGGGGAATAATTGGTCTGTAATTGGGATCATTGTATGTTAAGTTTGTTGTGACCATCTCCTACTGAGCGAGTTCGTTACTCCAATGTCCCAGTCCCCTCATGCTTACCCGTTAGGGCGTCCATATGAATGAGTGTTCATCAGTAATGAACATGTATTTGTGTAGCAGTATGAGGTTACCACGAGAATACCACAAACCATGCACGAACGCAGTACGGCTATGGTATCGACTGTGTCAGCATCCTATTTTATGTTTTTGTCATATTACTTTAAACCCTGCAAATGGAAGTGTGCATAGAATCATGGGAAGACACGGTGTGCATTTTGATAACTGTCATAAAGGTGATTGACAGGTAATACTTGTTTTCAACTCTGGAAGGACAACTGGAATCTACCAGGTGTGCTTGTGATTTACATAACAAAGGGTGTTTACAACTTTGGAAGGAGAATTGGAATCTACCAGGTGTGCTGTTATTTGAATAACTAAGGATGTTTATGATCTACTGAGATGCCTACGTGACACAGCTGCTAGCAAGATCACATTCTGATTGACTCTTGTGGAAACCCAGTTGGTGACACTGAATCATGTGGGAATCGAAATTATAGGATAAAGGAGACGATCGATTAAGTCAAGGAAAGAGACTTTATTATACGATATAGACTACACGAATACTATACAGCTTCTCTCGAATAAAGCGTGTGTTGAAAGTATACATACAGTGTGGCCGGAAGTTTGGACTTACGTAACTTGTTACTGAGTAGCCAATCAACTAACTCAATAATAATTAACTTAAGTACATAACGTATCTCTTTGTGGTTTCCGCAGTTCGATTGTGGTTCCAACAAATCATGCCTATAAATTGGACAGACTCAGGACAATTGGAGTCCATCATTTCAACTTGGTATCCAGTGTGTGCTGCTACGATATTGTGTGACAAGTGATATAGGCTACAACCATTATTCTGTGAGACTTGGATGAACTGCTCTGCGATCTCCTGCATTTAGCAGTGCCGCCCAGAATAACAGCGTTCTTCTGCAAGCAATACTCCTGTATTTCTTCGTTGTTGTGTTGCAGAGAAGCCATTGACTGTCGTCCATTAATACATCCTGGAACTGTGAGTTATCACCAATGCACACTTCCCTAAGCAATCCCCTATTTTAGTGACTTTATTCATTGTATTATTCTGTGCTTTATTTCTTGTAATTATTTTGAGAGGTATTGAGGCCAGGAGCTTAAACTCGATATTTTGGTGTGTGTATTTCATTTCCAGTACTATTGTTTTGTCTATCCCATACTAGCAGTGAAAGAACCCCCTGTCCAGTGTGAATTTTGTGGGTGCCCTGCGATAAGCAGATCTTACACTGTGACAGACTGACGCATAGCCCTGTACCGCCTAAGTGCATACTTTGAAATGCATATATTGAAATGAGACGAAACGTCGAGGAAATCAATGTATATGAACATCACAATCGTGTATCTATTTAGAAAGGGTTAATAAACGTATTCAATGAAATAACCAACTCTAATTTTAATGTGGTTGCTTTGCAGGTCCAATGAACATGTCCAAGAATTACCAGTGTGCAACCCAAAACACAAGATAGTGTTTCTAAAGACGTACAAGACTGCAAGTACGACTACGTGCACGATAATACAACGTTACGCCCTTATAAGAAACCTCACGTTCGCATTGCCGAAAACCAAACATTTTCACATGTTTGATGAAGTGGCACCGTTCAATACCAATATGGTGTACAAGTACAATGACAGAAAACAAGGACAATATGACTTGGTGGCCAGCCATCTCATATTTAATAAAGAAAAGCTCGAGAAAGTTGTTATAGACGCAAAGTACATAACGATCTTGAGAGAGCCTGTTACTAGGTTTGAATCACATTTTTCCTATTTTGAAGCAGCAAAATATCTGAAAATAACAAAACGTCGGAACGCTTTAGAAACATTTTTCAAAACCCCAGATAAATACATAATGAAGCCAGGTAATTTCCTCGGTAAACACCATCTACATAATGGTATGGCATTCACCTTAGGAATGTCTGAATACATACACCTGGCCAACGAAAGTTTTCTTCAAAAAAACATTGACCAATTAGACCGTGAACTAGATCTTGTCATGATTTCTGAATATTACGATGAATCACTATTGCTCCTAAAGAAACTACTGTGTTGGGAATGGGAAGATATTCTATACATTTCGAAAGGTATAAGGAGTGATAAATATAAGATTAATCTGAGTGATACATTGGTAGAGAAAATTAAACAATATAACTCTGTCGATGTTAAACTCTATCAACATTTTAACCAGACATTCTGGCAGAGGGTCGCTAACTATGGACCTCAATTTAACAACGACTTGCTCGAATTCCGTCAACGACTTTCAAGGTTTTATACGGATTGTATTGATGTTTCAAAGACAGGCCATAATGCTAAAAAGGAAGACACTTTAGTTATGAGATCCGATGCTAACGACTTCTGCAAAAAATCTTTTATCAGGGCATACGAATTCAACAACCTTGCGTACAAATCAAACTTGTACTAATAACCATACACGGTACTGGACCGTAAATTATTATCATCATCCTCAACAGCACTCACCACACCACAACCAATCACACCTACGGTATAATAGTACCCTGAATAATTTGTACACGCATGCTACAACATGAAACACAATATTCGAACTCTTTGAACGATCGTTACACTCAATGATCCTGAAAACGCAAAATGTTCGAAATGACATATACTTTACACCACCCTAAGGCGCTAGATGTCAAGGCACTTGTCAAATCTCTACCGTCACAAACAGGTATATAACTGTATAACACTTGTCAAATTGTTTTCCAAAATGACATAGTTTAGAACATTTATTCCAAGGTAGTTTAATAGCTTGTGTGAGGGGGAATTGTTTATGAGTATCAATATTCACTGGTATGGGTAAGACTTGTTGGCAAATCCCTGTCAAACAATTTCTTTAAAAGATGAAACGACTATGATAGACTATGACCGTAAATCAGTTGAACAAAGAGAAGATATTGTTGATCTGTATGCGGATCAGTATTCACTACGAAGGTTATGATCAGTTGAATTTTAGAAATGAGATAGCATTAAAAATGAATACAAAATTCAAAAAAATATGAGTTTGAATTCGCTAAAATTGTTCACAAATTATCTACTTCAGAGGGAAGTCTAGTCCAACTGAACAATGCTAATTGCAACAGCTAATTTCGCTTGAAATTCGGCAGATTAGGAATGTACTTGGTATAATTAATCATATTTCTACGCGCCAAACAAAAACAATGAAATATCAAAGACTTTGCTGATTTATTACTTTCACAATTTTAAGTATAATATCATGCTGACGATATAATTTTACTTTACAGATTGTAAACAGAAGCTGCAAGATATATTGATTTTATTCAATAGTTTTTGCGTAAAATGGCAAGATAAAATGAATGCTCACTTCAGGACATATAATATCTGCCATTACATTTAGATTTCACATTGAGAATAAGAATATTTGGTGTGCTTTTAGATATACATACCAAGGGGTAGTACTTGGTGAAATATAGCTATATGTACTATAATTAGCTATTTACTATAAACAGGTTTAATGACATGTATAATTAGCATAAATATGTATGTTCTGTGATAGACAAAGTATTTAGGATGAGTGCCCCTGTTATTTTCTATAACACTATCGGTGAGGTTGTCATGGTTTTTGTAATTTCAACAATATTGTAATTAAAACGGATAATGATTTATATTCCTCGGGTTATATCTAAACTCGTTATCGGTGTTTCGAGTGAATACGCAATGAACTGTATGTCCCCTTTATAGTTGTAGATGTGAATGTATTAACATTTCTCTTGAAAATTTAATTTATGTATGTTATTTGGATTATTTGCATCTGTAATGTACGCCTTTAATATTTTGTTTAAAGTGTTTAGTGATTTTCTGTAAATATCAATGACGTTTAGTAATGATATCACTATTAACAATACAGCTAATACGGTTAGCGCAGTTTATCAATACAATTGTTTAAATCTTTGAGATTCTGCAATACTAGTACTAGATAAACCGTATATTATTGTATATTATTATATATAATTAAGGTGTCTACAAAAATGCGTCACTGGACGTATATATTGTTCCTATGTTATTTATTGTTATTATTCGAAATACTCATAATATCTTTGTAATTATTGGAACTGGTTTATAACCATATTATGTTGGAATTGTACCACTTTTCGAAATATGGTTGAATAGTTTAACACGACATTAAATATTTATAATATACTTATAAATAAATAATCACTATGTTTCCCTCCACATACTCCAAATCTAGATAATTAATATACTGTAAATGTAAAAAGAACCAGATATTATGGAAGGTGATTTTTATTATACTATATTTTCGAATGGATTTTAAACAATTTTTCAAAAAAATATTACGATGCCTCCAGAAATAAAAAAATTCTCTCAAACTAAATAAATTCAGCTTCACTTCATGTAGCCACTAAAGTGTCACTAAAGATAGTAAGTATGTGAAGACCCATGCACGAAATGTTGTCATACATTCTCATGCTGGTTGGCAAAATATATATCCACGCAATCACCATGAAATGAGAAGAATGTTATTTGCATTGTGAACTTTTTTGAAGTGCATTGTAAAGCAACACAACAATATTCGATTCGAAATTGGATGCAAGTTCCTATCAGAAATATAATTGCCTTGAATTACTATATAATCTGTTCGGTGGTCGATCACTCTAGCTCTTGACTTGCAGTATTTATAGCCCAATACACACATAGAGACTACTATTTATTTTCTGTGATAGACTATATTTCCTTGTCATTGGACAAAACACCATGACTCTTCTCGATAAACCAAATGAGACATGACTAATCATTGCCTGTGTCCATATAAACCATGAACACCACTTATAAATCTGATCAAATGAACAAGATAAAACAGTACCATCAACATTCTAGTACTGTCTACATAGATATTCAGCCTCTAATTGCCCCAATTTTGATCGCTTTTATCATAAACCTATAATTCTAGGAAATAACTACCATCTCAATATTAATGGTCATGGTCAGTATATAAACAACTATATTCTATATATAAACCTCTGAAACTTTTGAATTCTAAATAGAATTGCTAAATATTATCTCTCCATTGCAAAGTGGTTTTGTTCCCTGTCAGTTTCGTACTTGCATCATGTGATAGGAAACCCACGATTATCAAATTCTTACATTAAACCAGCACCTAATCTGACGCATTGGGTTTCGTCAGGAATGAGGTTTGCATTCGGAAAGTGGCTTAAGAACAGCGTTCTCTTCAACATTCGGAATACGCTTGTGGTAATAATAGACCATTTTCCGTACACTGCGAGAATCACGCGTTATGCGTGAAATCGAACGTAAAAACTGGACAAACAAAGGTCATAGCGTCGTAGTCGCGTCAAACATCGCGTGGGATTCGACAAACGCGAAAGTATTTCGGGGACATTTTCATGCTTAATAATGTGCTGTCCACATTTGATGATAGGCAATTTCGTTTAAGTGAGGGTATTCGGAAGCAATATTCCATATTCGAAGATCGGCCGGTCAATGTAAGCTGGGAAATAAAGAAATTCTAGTTCAAAATCAAATCGTTCGATTTTTGCGGCAGACGTTCGACGCGCGTCTTTCATGCATCTCGCGAGATCTCGCAATTGTTCGGAAAATCACCTATTGCTTCTTGGTCATCGGACCTTAAGCAGACTTGATGTCACCATTCCAAACCATTCTGTACCTTACAGAATCGATAACATTGTATCTATTCCCTCATATATTTTCATCAACTGCTTTTTATTGACACTGTTTGTTAAAATGACAAAAAACATTTCCAGTGTGGATTTTATGTCATAATGGTGTTTGTATTGACCTAGTGATTACAACTGGACTCTAGGTTTCATTGGCATAAATCCGCTACACACTTCTTAGGGTTTATAGCTCATGGGTGTTGGTTCATCACTCTTTCCAATTTAGCAATTAGAAATATACAAACGGTGCGATCATCTCACACAAACATTTAGTACCAGTAAATTAAGTTTTCCAATGTGTGTTCACTACATTAATGGTAAATCCAATTTCAATATTTCAGTTTCACTAAAATTATTATTATGGTCAGTATATCGGTTTACATTGCCTGTGTCACGTGCTTTTGTCAATTAGCAAATTTACCCACACGGCCACAATTGAAACACTTGCAAGAATTAAGTTGAGTGACATTTAATCAAGTTTTATCTTGATTCGTAATTTTGTGGCGTAGGTTTATGTGGCATATGCACAATTGTTTTTCCAATACCACTCGAGTGTGCTTCAGTGTATTACTCAGCTAAACACGTTAGCTTTTCTTTTTAAGTACATGTTTTCAAAAATAATACACCAAAAGTCAAAGAACCTACACTTTGATTAACTGATGAACAATTAATTTTTGAGCCTCATATATATACAAATTATAAGATGGTTTTTCATTTCTCCAGCCATTTTTTTGGTTGGTATATAATGATTGAGTTGCTCATTATATTCATTATCCAAACATCATTAGGCCCGACCCCGAAAAGTCGTCTCTAGACAATGTCCAATAAACACGCCCTCACAGCGATTAGATGAACATGCGTAAGTCGAAACCGACATCAGTATGGTATGTATGACCAATTGCAACTAATTTAAGTTTTCCTCTTCCCCGGGGACATCTGAGTGGAACTAATATAAACACGGGCAAATTGCGATCTCACTTTCGCGATAGTGGCAAAATGTCTAGTCATTGTAATGCCTCACAGTACACAGGCAAATTAATGTCGTCTTTAAATAAAATGGTTCTTATTAACCATTATTATTAATTTTTGAGCAAGTTTTATGACCAATATTTCATTCATTGCATATCTACACGTCCATTTACCATCCCCTTTTCAAGGCTTCCTGCAAGTGGATTGAACTACTAAACGAACAATAGTAGTAGTAAGTGTAAAGCCAGACACCAGCATCAGAGTTGAGTTTATATTGAGTTGTATGTGTTTAATGTTGTTTACAGTGTACTACACAATGGTACATTGCAAACCATCTCTTGAACAACAACCCCTGTTTTTCACATCTTCGTCTTTTTCTTGAGACTGAAACTTGTTATTTTCTTCTTTTTCACTTAATGACTGGTTATCAAAATCTTCCGACTCAATTGTACAAGTGACCGTCGCCTGTGACGGAAATTCGTTGTCAGTTACCGACACTGTCGTGCAAACGTCATCAGTGCTGTCATTGATAGAGCTTCCTGCTTCTTCCATGGTATACTGCATTTCATCTGAAAAACAAAACACACACACACGCGATATTACTTAGTTTGGCGCAAACGACATACATACGTTTACTTCCCGGACCTTGCCGTGTTGGGGGTCAGTGCATGTCACATGATATCATCATCTGAGTCTTGGTGGCAGTGACCTAATTGGTAGAACCTTTCAGTTCTTACTCTTCAGCCCGTGTTTATTTTAT